CAAAAAAACCTTCCACCAAACTAAGCACACATTATAATAAATGAGAAATATATATATATATATATAACAAGAAAACAACAAACTGGTTCCCGGTTGTTGTTGTTGTTGCTTTTTTTACTTCTCTCTTCAGTTTTAACATGCGTTTATTAAAATTCTCTTCCAATTGAAGTACACACTTTTCTTATGAGTGAATTTATACATCTTGACGATTTTGAATGTGTTTCTTCGACCAAAATTTTCAATGGATGGCGTTTGTGTATATTCGTTATTTTCGATACGATGATGTGTGAGAGAAAATACACATTTTATCAAAAAAATGCATTTTTTGTAATTCAGGGGAATCTCGTTGCTCGACAACAATTTATTTATTTAACCTGGTGTTCGTTCGCTTGAGCCTCGTCATTATTACGATGTGTACAACAAGTGTAAATGAGAACTTGTATTATCTTTTTTCGTATTTGCATTCGATTCTCATCGCTAAAATAATCTCAATAGATCGGCCACGCTAAAAAAAGAAATAGCCTCTCACGCTATTTTTCATTTTTATTAATCACGCGTAAATCGTGCCTTGCGCGCCTCGTAAAATTCTTTCCGGACTAAACACAGCCGGGTAATGCTTAACAATATGATGCTCCACAAAAGAAGTGAAAAAAAAAACAACGACTAAACAAATAAATATAAATGAGGTATGTGCATAAATTCAAAAATTTGAGTGTTTCTTTTATATTTATGTGGAATTTGATGTTTAGCACCTACAATTCTTTCTTTTTTTCAAAATAAACTTATCGCGTTGTACTGTTCTCTCAAAGAACAGATGATTTAGCTCTGTATCTTTTTCTTTATTTCGCCCATTCTTCAACATTAATTTGCTCACATTTGCAAACAATAACATAAGCATTAATTCAGGCGATGAGATAAATTTTAAATGCGCGAAAATGTTTCCGCCGAGCGAACGATTTCCAAAATAATTTAGAAAATGTATTAAACACACAAAAAAAAGTGTGTAAACAAATTATGACGAAATCGTCGATTATTCCAAACACATACCTATATATAGACAAAATGGCATAGTTAAAAAGGATCCATTCAATTCGGGCAATACTATAAACTAGCATAAATGATGGGCGATGCGACACAATCATGCGATAGATTCAATTCCATCATCGTTCTCCGCTGAAATGTTTCAACACAATGGAAGTAGAATGTTCACTCATAAACCAATAGAAAAACTTGAAAACATGATTTTCATTTTATTAACCTTTGTGCTTTCTCTTCATTTGACTGAAAATGGTTGATCGCGACAGCGCACTGTCGCAGCAGACATTTAAAATGCACTTATTATAAACATTTGCAGCGCAATTCAAATGTCAGCGAAGAAGAAAAAAAGAGAGGCGAGAGGTGATATTAAATAGAAAAAAGGAGCAAAGCAAATGGCCATGGATTAAGAGCGCGCGCGAGGTTCATTCGCTTCGATGGCGTCTTTAAGGTGAATATCGCCAATTGTATTTTTTTTTATTTGTTCGCTCCCTTTCATTTGAAATGAGAGCAAGCAACGGAAAAAAGTGGTGAACGAAAAAAAATCACATTGTGCGCCAAAATGAAAAAGGAAAATTAGCAAAGCGGGAAATCGTATAAATTCAATGGGAAACTCTTTAACCGAGAACCGATTTTTTTCTCTTCTTTTTTCTCTCTATCTTTCGTTTTTCGCTGCTCATTTTTGTTCAAACTTCTGCTCGATCGCTTTATTATCCCCGATATATGTGTGTATAATGTATATATCGTGTCCGACGTGTGATGGCAGTAAATTTGTGAAATAAACATGAAGCGAAAAAGAGTGAGAGACTTTCTGTGTGAATCAGTGAGTATGGTTTTTTTTCGGCCCCGACTTGAGAGATGGAGGGGAGACGTTGGGCCTGACTCCATTGGTGTGTGTATTCTGTTTGCATTCGGCTCATCTTTCTTTTGGCCGACTGCTGTTGATGCTCTATATTCTATTAGAAAAATATTGCTTTTGCATTGTGTGTGAGCGCTCTCTGGGTTTTTGGCAAATAGCCAAACACTGGATTCTAGCAACAAACATTGAACATTCTTTTTGACGTTCGCTTTCTCTCTATCTAACTCTTTGTGTCTCTTGATTTCTCTCTGTGAATAGATGTGCATTTATCGCAATGTTTCGGAATTTCGTTCGAAATAAAACAAACAAAAAAAAAATAAACGAGAGAAAGAAGAAAAAAGTACGGCCATATTTTTAATGGCCGTCCTTCTCAGACTTATCGGTAGATGATTCGGATTCTCAACTGTATTTGAGCGCATTCAGCGCGCATTTCAATTCAACTAGATTCAGAGCTGATGTTGTGTGTCTGTGAATGTGTCTATTTATTGTAGGTCTTTTTTTCCCTATCATTCCTTTAACTTTTTCATTTTGTTCGTGTCTCAGATGATTGTTGCTGTGAGTATTACGACACATTGTTTAACGTTTGTGTCATCATCGGTCTTGTCTTGGAAATGGTTATACATGTGTGTGTATACGACAGTTTTGTCTGAAGAGTTTAACCGTGGACCACAATGAAGAAATTACGTGTAAAAAAAGACATACATAAAAAAACACGTGAATTTTGTTGAAGAACGAGAGATACAGAGAGAAAGCGTACTGTGCGCGTTCGTTGCTAAGATTCGCATGTTTACATACAAATTCGTTAATTTTATTCATACACACATTAACAACATGGCAAAAAAAGACCGAATCATCGCATATGATTATTTTCTATTTGTTTTCACTAATTTGAAAAATTCGACATATGGTGAAATACAAAAAAAAAACAGAAGACCATTCGCTAGCCAACTCGCGACGTTGTCGCCGAATAGAACAGTGAAAAAACATACACATTAAAAAGAACATTTTCGTAAAGACGAATAAAGATGTTTTGTTTTTTTATGTCCTCTCATCTACTTGCTCTCTATTTCGGAGGAGCCATATTTCTTTTTTTCGTTCGTTCGTTCGTTGTACCGTTGAAACATGCATAGCCGTTTCGTATGCGAAATTACGCTCGTAAAATTTTTTGGCAAAGAAATATAAAACGAAACAAAAATATACACGTTTTCAAACAAACACAAATCGTGACACATACACACACACACAGAGAGAGAGAGAGAGAAAGAGAGAGAGAGAGAGAGAGAGAGAGAGAGAGAGTGAGAGAGAGAGAGTGAAGAGAAGCCAAAACATAAAAATATTTTGAGTGTCCGAAGGAGAATGAGAAAAGTGCATAGACAATATATGAGTGTGTAGACGGGACACGAGAGAGGCGATAAATGAGATAGAGAGTATCAACGAATATAAAAACTGTCACATATTGGCCCAATACGCAATATATCATTGTGTCGCATTACGGCTTCAATATAAATTTTATAAGATTATACCGTCGATTCCACATTCATTGGGTACAAATCTGTTTTCGTTTTTAACAAATTCCCTATGCTGCTACCACAGCCGTTTATTCTATTTCTTGATCAATTTGGTATCAACCGATAATGCATTTGCAACTTCGAAAACATTATTATAAGAAAAATCCACGAGCTCACACTTATTTCTCAAAATGTGTGTGTATCTGACGTCAGTGCAAATGCCATTACTATCTAATGCTGGTATTCTTCTCTTTTCGCTTATTCATTTTATGTCAACAACTAGATTTTAGACGATAATATATTCTAATTTTCAAAATTATTTCTCACAACAGTCAGAAATTTCGCATGAAATGACATTTAACTACAACAATGTTTGATATTTGCGGGTAATGACACCCTCGGTTTTTCTACTGCTAGTAAATTTGACCGGTTTTTTTGTATGTAAAATCGTTAGGCCACAATGAATGGGTTTGTTGTTCAATAACATGGAAATTTCGGTCGTTTTTTTTTTCTTTTTCTTCTCAATGGGCTCGAACCGAATTCATCAATATGAAAAAAATTCTAACAAGAATTCTGCTGATTATAAAATCAAATGGAAATTGAAGGGAAAGATATAAATAAAAATGCCAGTTCCTTGTTTTGGAGGACGGAGTTGAATACACCACTTGTTTTGCATTAAAATGCAATTTACATGCAACGCGCGCCAAACAACAATACCGAGAAAAAGAAAACATCACCACAAAAAAGGGTAACGGAATCGGCCATTATATAAATTCATAAAATAGAATTTGTCTCGCTATTTGAAATGAGTATGCATCGTTTTTCTTACAAACAACGATTCAAACATTATTATCATAACAAAGAGGGTACCGACAAACACTCATTTTTCCATTGAAACCATAACATAAAATATCATCCAAAAAGATTCCAATTAGACAACCATAGACACATTCGAAACAAATTTTCGAAAACATGCTCCAGTGTCAAGTCTTATTGACTTTATGGAGACATTCAGATTAGAACGCCGCTGATGAATGCGTAATTTTGTCACATTTTTCAGCATTCATAATAATGCCACCCGTTTTTAGTAATTAGTCGCATCGACGAATAAATACATTGAATTAAATTAATTGAAGTTAACGAAAAAATATAACTAAGTTTAAATGGGTAATAATCTACTAAATACTAAATGATCTGGTGATGGAATAAAAAAAAAAACAAAAAACAAAAAACAAAATTTTGATGGAAAAAAAAATGGTCAACGTGTCTCGTTCTCTGTATTTTATTCACTTATACTCATTTTCATCTCGATGTATATGATGCGAGAGGCATTTACGAGACTTATCATTGAACTTTCAATTTATTTCTGCGAATTTTCTACAAAACGTTTTCCTTCGATCTTTTTGCTCTATGTAATTCTTGCCTTTAGAAAAAAAATATATGTACGGATTCATTTTAGGGCAAAATAGTAATCCAATTACTTGCCGATTTTGTGTGCGAAAAACAAAAATGAAATGGCTCAATGGAATCAACGATTTTATCATAGCCATCCAATGCAATAATTCCATCGTATATAAATGAAAAAAAGAATCACTTGCCTGTTGCCATTGATCTTCGATCGACACTTGTGATGAAAAGTATCCGGTGTCGTGTATGTCTTGCAATTCACGAAAAATGTTTCCACTCGGTAAGATATCCATGTTTGCGGTTGCCGTTATTTCTGCTTGTCGTCTTTCTGCCGTTGACCGATTATTTACGCAATTGTCTTGAATACAATTCAAAGTTATTCAATAGCAAATCGAAAATAAAATTAACTATTTGTTCAATCAGTTAATCTCAACTGGTTCGCACACTTTATTTTCTCTTCTTTTTTGGTTTATCAATTGATATTTTTTTTCTTCCTTTCTCTTAATTCTTTATTTATTACTCCTTTGTTTTCTTCAATTCTTTTTTCAATTCAAATACTTATTTTTTTTCATCCAGAAATCATAAATTCTCTTTTTCCTTTTCCACATCAAATGCACGTATCAATATTAAAACTTTTTTTTGTTTTGTTTATTTGATCTGTGTCTGAGCGTAGATGTTTTTTTTTTTGCTCTAAAAAACTTTTTTTTAACATACACGCAAATTTATACATATACACAATCAATTCGTTTTTATCATAATGCTCTGCAGATTGAGAGCGTCGTAAGTAATACGTTATATATCGACAATTAGATTAAACATTCACTTCTTCGCAGATTTAAACAAAAAAAATTGTAATCACTCATACACTGTATATTGCATAGAAACAACCAATTAATTGCATTTTATATTGAACCGAAAGAAAAATGAAGCCCGCACACAATTTGTCGCTGATGTCGACTATTTCGAATTTATTCTTCGTTTTGTTTTGTTTTCAGTGGTTATTTTTCTGACCAAAAATTCTTTTTTTTTCGCTCGTCACAAACAAATTTGTGGCCCCGTTTTTTTTGTGTGTTTGATTTTTATGCAATCACGAATTGAACAAAAAAAGAAAGATCAACAAACTTTTCGTGTTATTAATCGTTGATCAATTCAATATATATATAAAAATGTGCGCCGTCGCATTTATAAAATATATAAATTGATTTGCGCTGAGCTTGTGCTATTCGATAACGAATAAATGTGATGTGGATATTTCGAATGATGGTTGGTTTTTTGTTCTTTCACTCTTTCTCTTTCTCTCTGTCGCAAATGAATGGCGCTTATACTGGTAAATTTAATTTGATTTTGATTTATTTGCTGTGATGTTCGGCAAGCAAAATGGTAATGGGAAACGTTTATTTGCAATAATTTCTTGTACTTTTGTGGGGACTTGAACTTGGGATTTCTTAGAATGCTAGCTAAGCGACGTTGTTGAATGGAGCAACAAAATTTTTGCTGTTTTTTTCGGTGTGCGTATTTTTTCACAGTGTATTTGTTTTCGGTTTGTCAGAAATTTTTGCTTTTTCAATTTGATTTTATGTATTCTGCAATTTCTTTGGACTATTATGACACATTGAACTTTTTCGGGAACAAAAAAAATATTTGATTAGGTCGATGGTTTTTACATTTGTTATTGTTGATTTCGGTAATTTTTCCACCATAAATCACTAATTTTTTTGTGTTTTATCGACACATAGTCGTACCTTTCTTCTTTTTCTTGTTCAATCTCTCTTCACAACACTCGAGAATGAATTAGAATTCTCGCACTCACTTTTCTACGGGATATTATGTGTTTGTTGATTTTTCAGTTAGCCGTTTTTACTGCCGCTACTGCTGTTGTATATTTTTCTCGCTTCTTTTTTTCAACGAAATTTTGATTTGTTTTTCTTTATTCAATATATGGGCGAGCACTTGCATTTAACGTTACTTTTGATTAACACTTTGAATTTACTAATCGATTTAGTATTTGGCGTTTCAGATCCATTGAACCCGTTGATTTATGTTATGTTTTTCATTCGAATTGAAATTTTTCACGCATTCACATTCTTTTCCTTTTTGCTTGATTGGATGTTTGTCATCTAGATGCGAGAATAGAAGTGAACACACAAAACTCACAATAACTCGTTCATCAACGATGAAGCGAACATTTCATAGCACGATTTGGGTGGCAATTTAATCGCGATTATAGCAGACAAGAAATACGCTCACATCAAATTCTGAAATGAAACAAAGGAAGAAAAAAAACACACACAAATGATTAATCTCTCTTTGGAAGTTAACAAGCGAACATAAAATGTTTTGCCGAAATTTATATATACAATAAAAAATCAAATGTATAATTTTTGGAATGCAATTTCTCATATATGTAATCGAATATTCGCCGAATATACTAGAGTGAATTAAAACACCTTATATAAAAAAAATCAATCATAATGATGTTTATCCTTAAGCGAAGAATCAAAAGATGAAAAATTCAAATTCAATATTTATTATTCCATTTAACTAACTGCAATTTTTTAAGATTTCATTAAGATCCCAAACATGATTCGCGTGGCACCACAGTGGTATGAATGAACCAACCTCAACAATGACGCAAATATTCCTGCATATCGCTCCAGAGAAGGCCGGTTCTTAATGATTTATTTAAAATTTTATACAATTTTTTTTTTCGATTAATAATAATTTCGGTGTGTTGGTACTTTTTGATTGTGACCCCGAATGATGACAAAAAAATGAGCTGTAAATATTGGTGTGTAAATAAAAATATCGAACGATGGCCGAGGTGTGCACGTGGAATGTGGTCGGTCGTTTAATAATTTTTCATATATGTATCTTTTTCGAGGCATTTGTTCAGATGCGGCATTTGTCGGTGTGGTGGTGGTGACGCAATTTATAGTTGTTGTATTCGTTGCATAATCATCATCATCATCGGTGCAGTTGGTTATTTGTTCATTAAGCAGGAAAATGTGACCGATGTTGACCAACTGTCAGGAGCAATTTTTTTTTGAATAAAATTGGTAGAACACAATATGCATTGTTGCTTCGGAAAAAGCAAGAAAGAATGGCAGAACACACACCGAAGAGAGAAAGCGGCCGCAAAAAAATGGCGCCATAAAATAATGGCAATTTTATCGAATAAATTCTGATAGAAAACAAATGGCTTGCACATTGTTCTGTGCACAAACACAGTATCACCGCATATGCATCTCAGCCATACCATTTTCATGTGCATCTTTTGCATAAATTCAAACGTGTGTGTGTGTGTTTGTGTGTGTTTTTTATACTCGTTCCACCTTTTGTTTCGACATTTTATACTTGTTTTTATTTGACATTATTTTATACATAAATAAATTAAAATAAATTAAATCGCCAAATGAATTTGAACAAAAAACAGCGAGAGAATGAAGTGTGGCCAAAAAAGCAAATGTTTGTGTGTGTGTATGAGCGGAAGCGCGCCATGCAAATAGATAGACTAGCAGCACCAGCAGCATCAACAGTATGCAATCGGCCTGTCAAATAATCATTGGTTTTGTGTGCTGATATAAAATGAACAATGAAAAACAGAATCAAACATATATTTTGAAGTTACCGAAAATTGTATAATATGGATATATATGAATGAGAGTGAGAAGAAAAAAAAGAACCCGAAACGAATTTGTTCTCGTCAAATTATAAATTTCCTACGATTGGACAGTTTTGTGAAAATAGTGCAACCAAAAACGTTTAAATTTGGTTCACTGAAAATGAAACAGAGCAGCAACAACAACCACAAAAATGTTATGTATGAAAATTCTTGTTATTGCTTTACGGATTGATTGTTCTGTCGCGTGCGTTTTATTGTTGTTGGGTATTGTTTGAATCGAAACCAATGTTTCAATCTCTTTTATTTGGCAGAAGTGTTGTTGTTGCGTTTCACTTGTCGGATGCATAAAATGGAATTGTTTCACACACATACACATACATTTTGGCGGATCGTGGTGCGCGCATTCATGCACCGCGCTCAAATGAAGAAAAATGCCGCAATAAAGAGCTCTAGCTTGTTAATAAAACCGAACCCAAAGAGAATCAATACAAAATGGAAATAAATGCTTGCGAGAGAAAATAAACGTTGTTGTTTTTTTTCTGTTTGTATTTTGGTGTGGTGCGATGCCCACTCATATAAAAATTGCGATATAGATTTAAATATCATAATGTGTATACTCCCATTCTGTTTCTCGTTTGCGCACTATTTAGCTGCGAGTTTACATGTCAATTTTCGTTCATTTGAATTAGTAAATTGGAAATATTGTGTGTGAGCGAGAATGAATGAATGAGTGTGTGTGTGTGTGCGTGCAAATATTCGCGGTTATTCAATGACTTTATGAAATTTTATTAAGAGAGAATGCGAGAGTGATTCATAATAGCTATTTCGAGCTGATAACGAACTTCATTTGTTGTTTCTTTTTTATACTTGAAGTTCTCGTCGGTCGTTGCTGGTTTTTGTCCTTCTTCTTCTTCTTTGTTTGTTTTCAATTCGTTCGACTGGTCTTTCGTTTAGCGCTATCTCTGTCTAGCGCAGCTGGCAAACACACCTACTTCATTTTATCATAATGTTTAAACATTGTTAAAATACATTGTGCACCGACACATTCTATATGCCGAACCATATCGTGAATTTCATTTTGTTAATGGCTCACCATGCGAAGAGCAACAAGCATATAAACAGATAGTGTTCATCGCAAAACCGACAAAATGAATTTATCTTGTTAAACTAACAAATAAATAGCCGAAAAAAGCGCGTACACACATCACATACAAAGAGAGGATATGCTCAAGATACGCTATCAATGTATATTGAATTATACATTGCATTCCGTTTCCATATTAATTCAGTTATATGCGGAATCAGTTACGAAGGTCATTCACAAATAATCATTCTTATTATTTTTAAGATGGCATTTATAAATTTTTAAAAATCTCTATGAAAGATGAATGGTCGGAATGCATGACATACAACAGAAACCTGTTGTGTATTTTGAGACGCATTACAAATGAGATTAAAACATATTGCCGGATGCATTCATCCCCATTATCATCTCAACAGTGGTGAATCACCACAATCAATAAAACATACAGGAGCCTATGCTAATATATCCTACACAGATATCTATCGAATTTTAAATGCCAATCTCTCTCTATCTCTATTTTGTTTGTGCTTCAATTTAAATTCAACTCAAACAAACACATCGCATAAAGCACTGACCGTATCGCCAGACAGACAGACAGACAGACAGACTGGATGCGCTTCTTTTGTAATTTTAGATGCGTGTGCAACGCGAAACTAAACTTGATTCTATTACACAAAATTGTATAACAACATTAACAAGTGCAATGTATAAAATTGCGCTCGTCGGTGTTCTCTGCATTTAGGTGACAAATGGATCGAATTTTATTTTATTATAGCATTTCACACACACATACACATTTTAAACATTGAAATCACGTATTTTTAGTGGTTTCATTCAGTCGCGGTGGTTTACTTTGTTGTTGTCGACATACGACAACTGTCTTGCACTCGTTTTTCAAACGAATTACATTCGGCAAAATTTCACACACATATATCACTCTATTGCACATCATGCACTCGAATTCGAATGAAAATCACATACAAATATTTTCAATCATCGGCAGCAAAAAAAATGCAACAACAAACGACACATACACTCATTGGCAGGCACAAACAATTTTAAATTTTGAAGTTCAAGTCCAATAACAGATACACAGCATATGCACATCGAATCCATTAACACAAAACCGGAACGAAATTTGTTAATTATATCATTTGATGATGATACTCGTCACAATATCGATTCTTTTACACAAAAACATACACACACACACTCTATCTCGCTAAAATAAATTTTCTCGTTTAACTCTCAGCACCAGCCATTTGACTTAACCTTTCAACGAAATGATGCACATTTTGTTTATAAATTGAATTTTATTTTTCAAACTGGTGTGATGTTTTTATAATTCTTCTTGTTTTTTTTTTATTTTCAACGACGTTTGGCATTTTACAATTTTTCGTAAACAAAAATGATACTTTTTTTACTTTGAACGGAACACAAGCCTCGTTCATTTTTATCACTCTAGAGTCTTTTTTTCTTTCGTTCACTTCAATTTAAAAGACAAACACAAGCCATCCAGCGTATATGTACTATAGAAATATAATAGGTTTTCAATGGCGAATAATTACAAAAACACAAGTTTGTTTGCCATATGTGAACCTGCAACATTGGCTTCACTCACATGCTCTCTGTTGTTCAGCAAAATTCCACCACCGATTCACTCTTCAATATAACTTTACGATCGTAAACATACGGCACCATACAAACTGATTCAGAATTAAATAAAACAGATACAAAATGAATAAGAAACTATATAATAACACACACGCATACAAAGATAATGAAATGATAGCGAGAGAGAGGAGAGAACAACGGCGCAAGAAGAAACATGAAAGAAAACAAATTCACTTTTTATTTTAAAGAATTCGCTTATCGGTTTCGATTGTGGCTGATAATATTATTAATAACAAATGAATGACCAAATAACAACAACAATTGTAAAATAGCATTCATACTGTAAAAACGCGAGTTTTTCATATTTTTTTCTCGTTCGGCAATCTTTTTTTTTTCATTTTATGGTAAACTAAATGTAAGTAGCATTTTTGTGCATAATTTTTTTTACTATTGTCATCCGTCAGCTAAATATCCATACTTTTGGTTAAAAAAAAAACAACATTTGAACAAAAAACTGAACGTTTCAAAGTGATTAGAGCAATGGCATTTATAGCTAAAAAAGGCCATCACGTATGCGAAACAGATAATAGACTGTTTGGCGTGTGAGTCGTGTGACGTGAAAACGATGGAAAAGAAATGCAAAGAGAGACAGAAAGAAACAAGAACGGAAAAAAAAGTAGCGCGAATTATAACATTAAATAAACGATGGAAGAAGAATTATTATTAACAATGAAGTGAAATTGAAACACTGAACAATAATCACACATTAGCACTTGACGGCGTATACATATCATACAGTAAATAGTGTATCATTAAAGAAGTCGACGACAAAATGCGAAAAACGCACAAAATTATTACACTAATTAATTCTTTCGATTCTTTTGTTGCTCCGGTTCTTCTCTGTCTCGCTCATTCATTTCTTTTTCATTTTCATTCGTTAAACATTTTTTTTTTTTTGTGCTTGGTACAAGAATATCACTTGAATCGAATGAAGAACAACTGTCTTAGAGCTTAAAATTGCCAATTGCTGTTGTTCTTCTAGTTTGATTTTGCAAACTTTAGCTACTATTTGCTCAATTCTGTATTTGTCGACAGAAAATCAAACACATACGAATAATTGAGATTCAGTTTGAAATTTTTCGTCTTGATTTTATGTTTGAAAAAAAGAAGCTTTTTAGACGTTTTTCGCATTGCTTGCGTTCGGTTGTTTATTCAAAAATCAAGTGCACCAAATACACAATTCGTTCACTCGCTCTTGCTAAATCTCGAATCTCCGATAAGTATATAAACAAAAATATACACATAATCACGGTGACACACTCTCACGTTTTCGTTTTTGATTTTTTTTCCTCATAAATTTTCCGTCATAGGCTCTCTGTTTGTTTATCTTTCTGTTGTGATAGTGTATCAGCACAAATATTTAAGAAAAATAAAGGTGAACTATTTCTCTTTTTTTTTGTATTCCAGTAAAATTCTTACGAAGTTTTTCATATTTTTCGATAAGTGTTTGTGCAATACAACGCGTGACTAAGTGTTACGAATACACATTTTTTTTATATTTGCAATTGATTTTTATTTATTTTGGTTGCAATTTGAGAAATGAGATAAAAAAAACTAGTAAAAATTCCACTTAAAAAATAAACCACAAGAAAATGAAACCGAATAACTGTAAAACTGATATTATTTTCCTTATAAAAATATATCAGTTTCATTTTTTAAATTTTTAAACGACCATACTTTTAAATTCGAAGCAAAAAATCACATGACTTTTTAAACATTTTTTTTGAAGAAATTTTCTCACAAAATAACGAAAAAAATATATGAATAAACACTAACTTTAATTTTTTTATTATATCGTCGTCGATAAATGTTTCGTAGCTCATCGAAATGAAACAATCTGTAATATTCTCGGATGTTTAGATTCAAGATAAATAAATACGAGATACACGCATTTGGAAAATGACTGAGAAATCAATGTTTCTACGATGCCGGCATATACGAGACTAACCAAACAAATCCAACCGGAATATTATAAGACTTGTCTCCCGCCATCGTTGTCGCACCGCTCGGTGCATGCGTTTGTGCTTGTGTTGCGTTCGCGTGCGCGGTCTTTGATCGCTCATTTCCACTGGCTCCTCTCTCTTTCACTCTCTCTCTCTCTCTCGCTTTAGTACACACGCTGAATGCACAAGAACCGTGCAACGTATGCACACAGAATGCCGAACGGAAGCCGCAAATGTGCACTGACTGACAAAACGAGACGCAAACACGCGCCCGAGCTATTCCATATATTTGATTCATATATCCAACCATTATGGATGATGACTTCAATGAAAATGCCGTGATTCATTCTAAAACCATTGATTTCGTTTAATTCTTAGTTTATCAAAAAATTAAAAAAAAAAATGTCAACGACAATTCTATCGAAGACAATGTTTGATTTTAACCAAATCAGAACTCCAAATTATATTCGAATGGTATGAGAACTGTCTCTCGCGCGCATATACACAAATTTTTCAAGCGGTTGTAAAAAGCAATTGCAATGCCGCATGGTATTTGGTAGTAAGTCGCATTGCGGTTTTAACGTATATTCCAATACAGCGGCGATGATATTCCATTGAAATTTCAGTCGAATATATTTCGAAGTCGGTTATTGTTTATACATATGCATGAAAACGGCCGTTAAACAACGCAACGTTTGTCGTTATCCTATTAGAATGTATTTCGTTCGGTTTTGTTCTTGTCGGTGGAGTCGGCCAGCGTCAACGGCCGTGATGACAACAACATTCCGCTTTTGAAGTGGATGGTAGGAGATGCAGTCGCACACGCTCCTGTTACACTGGTTATAGTGTGTTGTTACGGTAGTTTTTGTTTATAGTAACATTCATAGAATTACTATATGTTATGTGTGCTCGGTGCTCTTGCACGCATATACTATAATGGGGTTTGTATAGTTGTGAGAGCATGTTCATCATATCCAAAAAATATATGTGTATCGACAATATGTATTTGGCTAAACGGTTTGGAACCGGGAGCCATTCAAATTTGAATGAATTTAAAAGAGAGAGAAGAAGAAGAAAAAAAAAACGGTCCGCGATGCATGTAAATAAACATGAAACCGAAACCGAATGGAACGGAACTCTCGTCTATTTTCTTCATTTTGAAATGGGAATAATGAATGAAATGGAACATGGCACATGCAACAATTCAGAGGGAGACCGCCACAATCAAACTGAGAATGTTCGAAATACAAAACACTTGAACGGAATATGAACGAAAAACAAAGAGAAAAAAAACGGAGATATACTGGAATCATTACAAAAACAAAAATTTTCCTAATATGCCAATAAATGCTAGAAGAGTCAATGCTAACGACGAGAGCGAAAATGAGTATATGAGAGTGCAAAATGTGGAGATGTGTGTGAGTTGAATAAAGTGCATAATGTGTGATTAGCTACATTTTTATTATTGCTCGCGCCATTTGGGTGTATGTATATACATTTAATGTAAGTGAATATGACTCCAGCGCTTGAAGTGTTATCTGTAAACGATTGCGAATGAATATATGTGTATGTGTGTGCGTGAGCGCTCAATAGAACGACAAAGCGAAGCATGGAGTGAAAGAGAATGAAACGGGCATCGAGAATGAAAGAATGAAAAAGTGATAGATAGATAAAAACAAAACAGCAATTTTACTCGAGTCCCGGCGAAAATGGGGAACTACACATAATACATAAATATAGCCGACGAAAATAAATTTTGTTTATGCGTTTTTATTTTTTCGTTCGTTTTGCCGTTCGTTCGACGTTATTTCGATTTGAAACATATCAGACGATAGAGCAAATACAATTTTGTGTTAAAATCATATATACATTTATTTCTTTGAATGTTCGGTCTAAGTATGTGCTGATTGTGTTGCTATCAAAATAATTTAAAGTTGCCCAGAACTTATTGTCTTTTGCGTCAATTTTGAAAGAATTTCGGTGAAACGAAGAGTAATGGCTTTGGAGGGTTGCTTGCGTTTAACGGCTCACTTAGACAGATATAATCGACAGCATTCACTTTATGTGTATTGAATACAAATTGCAATTTTACATGATTACATGAATTTATCAATGCAACTTCATTTCCTCTATGGCAAATATTTTATTGTATTCCAACAGCCACAAAATCTGTTACTACATTTAACCAGTAATGGTTCCTTGTGTTTATAAAGTTTTTGGGAAACATTTTCTAGTACCTTTCAACCATACATTTGAAAAATATTTTTTTTGCTCATTTCATTTGCACTTCAAATGATGGCTTCAAAAATCGATTATTTATTTGATATGTTTAATGTTGTTTGTGTGCGTAATTGTTCTTGTTGTATGTGGATAATGCATTTTGTTTCTTAATTGCGAATGGTATTATCGCAGCTATGTTATCAACATTATATTCAATGACGACATGTATAAGTCAGACCGCGATCATTTCAGCACAATACAACTGCAATATGTGTAATATAACAAAATAACGTCCGGTTTAACGATTTACATTGCGCACATCTATGACTATACATATATCCGTTGTTTGGCTTCTTCAAAATCAAATACAAAACGCACATGAAATGCCTGCACATTTCAAATTGGCATCTCATTAGATTTACACATCAAATTCACGCACGCACACACTGTACGCAGACGTAAAGTCAAGTATAGTTTCCATGAATTTAAAACTGGTCATTGCCAATCCAACTGCTATCAATGGGTGCTTTTGTTTTCAATGTCCATCATTTTTTCCTCACAAAGAAGCGGTTTTAGCATCTTATTAACAATCATAATCCATAGGAAACACTTCTTATAGGCAACGCGTGTTTCTTAATACATTCCGACATTTCTATATGTGCAAAAATTGTAATCAAGTAGGTTTTGTTGTTCTGTTTTTTTTTCCTTCGCTCCATCTTTGAAATTCTATGGCTAAACCTATCAGTTCATCGACAATTTTTCCCGTCTGCTCACTGACATTCTCGCAACAGAGCGCGATTTATTTTTGCGCTTTCATGTGTGTGTTTGTGTATGTGCTGAAGTCGCGCAATGTCTTTGACTTCATTTAATGCGCGTGTTTTATATACAAAAGTGTCTCTTTTCTTTCTCGGATTGTTAATGTGTTTTTCTACGAAAATGGTATATAAATTAATACGCACAAAACGCAACTCGATGGACTGGATGGTCTTTTATTCATCGAAGATGATTCTTTTCTTTTCGTTGTTCCATCGTTTTATACATTTCATTTGTTTGTTCTGTTTTTTTTTTTTTTAATTCTTATTGGCATTGAGTATGTTTCCTTCAATATCGCATATATAATTTGTGTATGTGTGTGTGTGTGTTATATCGGCGTTGAATATGGCTGTTCAAATCTTCATAAAAATCATACATTCAGTGACTTTCATATCGTATCGCATTTAAATTGTCAATGTGTCTGTCTATCTGATTGTGTACATTTGTGACCAAAGTGAGCAAACGGGAGCTGACAAAAGACAACGAGAGAGAGAGAATCAGAAAAGTAGACAAATATATGAAGAAATGTGCATATTGCTTGTTGTCGTCGGCCAATTGGAAATTTCCCGGATTTCTTACGGTTGCTAAGACCAATATAAAGACGATCCGTACCGTTGCATATTCGCTTGTCATTCAATTCGATGTATTTTGTTGTGCGGAGAACAGAGATAGAGAAAAAAAACGTTAATACTTTGTTGACAATACTAACTGACTGTATAAGCGAACGTATTTTATGGTCATAACAACATATCCAAGTGTACTGCATAAGTATACAATTCAAAATGAAAAAGCTAATCAAGAGATCTTAGTCCCTTATCTTGCACGCCCTTGTCCCCACCTCTCTTTAACAATCACACACACGGTATAGTTTATTTATTGAAAATTTTATTAATAGAAATGAAATTTCTGCACATTATTTATTGAATAAGTACATTGAGAAATGGAGGAGCGTAAGTGAGGGGCGAGCGAACAAATGAATTTCTTTTTTAAAATACGGTTTCTTAAAGCGCGTCACTGCTGCCGCTTATATCGGAAATTGTAAAATATTCAACACTTTAATTTGCAACTTGTGTTTTTTTTTTCTTTTTCGCTTTTCGCTGGTGGTACAAGTAAACAAGAAAAAAATCCGCTCACACCAATTCAAAAATCCCCATAAACATGCACATGTATTCATTTATTCGCCGGCCGAGCCAAATGAACAATGGTCTTGTTTCTTTTCTCAAATTTTAGTGCAATATGCTTTCTTGTTAGCGTGGTCCTTCTGTAGCTCTCTCTCTATCTATCTCTACGTATGTCTCTCGTCCATTGTTGTTATTTTGTCGGTGCGCGCTATTTTTCCCAATGAACTTTTACTTTAAAAAATCATCTTAAGTGCATCAAACAAATTGGCTTCTTCTAGTAACGAATGGAATAGTGCTGCGCTACACCGTCGAATAGATCTGGGCTGAGGATGTATATCACGTATATATTTTGTGTGCAAAATGGATATTTGTGTCGTACAAAAAAAATGTATATATTTTTTTCTCGCCCGTCTCCGTTCGTTTCCATTCTCCTCTATTACTCGATCTCCTTTTCGAAGCCGAAATTATTTTTTGTTCGTTGTTTGGCATAAAATATATACAATATATATACACATTTGAACTTTTAAAGTAACGTTGTGATGAAAATACTTAGTGCGGCGATAGTATACTAATATTCTGTGTGTGAGAGAAGGTAATAGATTCTCATCTATTAGATGAGAAGAGAGAGACAAAAAACAGCAAATTGAATGGAAAAAAAGCCGGATGAAATGCAAGAATTATGAGAGCGCATAGCATTTGCTTTGGCATTGGGGTAATACGACGATAGTAGACATACACACATACAAACATGAGCTGCACATGCACATAAAACGAACGAGAGAGGGAGACGAACGGCCTAAGAAAATTCAAGCCAACGTTGGTTGTCGTA